TTGAGACAGTCTCATTCTGTCTCCCAGGCTGGAGTATGGTGGCGTCATCTTGGCTCACTGCAACCTCCACCTCCCAAGTTCAAGCAATTCTTCTGCCTCAGCTTCCCAAGTAGCTGGGACTACAGGCACTTACCACCACACCCAGCTAATTTTTCTATTTTTAGTAGAGACAGGGTTTTACCATATTGGCCAGGTTGGTCTTGAACTCCTGACCTTGTGATCCGCCCGCCTTGGCCTTCCAAAGCGCTGGTATTACAGGTGTGAGCCACCACACATGGCCAATCTGACTGATTTTTAAATGAAAGTCTGAGACATTTCATCATATCATCTAGCTTCATAATTTACACTTCACTAAAATCTCCATGTGGATGTTCTATTAAATTCCACCTTAATCCCTTGGCTTAATGCCAAGACAAAATCAGCAATCTCATCCTTCAGTCTGAATTTTTAAGACACTGACATTTAGCCAAAAACATTAAAGAAAGCAGGAGATTCACAATTGAAGCAAATTTGTGCCAAAGGAAAAATGTTTAAAGCAGGTTCATCATCGACGGAGACTCCGATTTTCATGCCACAAGATACTAACTACAGGAAGAGAGTTCAATCCGGGCAGACATTTCCCCAAAACTTCCTCTCCACTCTCCGGAAGAGGGCCACTGCACATTTATTATTCCTTAATGTCATTTTAATTCTTACAGAAGGGCAGAGTGTGGTGGTTCCTGCCTGTAATCCCAACACTTTGGGAGGCCAAGGCAGGTGGATCACCTGAGGTCAGGAGTTCAAGACCAGCCTGGCCAACATGGTGAAACCTCGTCTGTACTAAAAATACAAAAAATTAGCCAGGCATGGTGGCGGACGCCTGTAATCCCAGCTACTCGGAGGCTGAGGCAGGAGAATTACTTGAACTTGGGAGGTGGAGGTTGCAGTGAGCTAAGATCTGAGATTGCGCCACTACACTCCAGCCTGGGCAACAAAAGCAAAACTCTGTCTCAAAAAAATAAAAGTAAAAATAATTCTTGGCCAGGTGCAGTGGCTCATGCTTGTAATCCCAGCACTTTGGGAGGCCAAGGTGCACAGATCACAAGGTCAAGACCAGCCTGGCCAATATGGTGAAACCCCATCTCTACTAAAAATATAAAAATTAGCTGGGCATGGTGGTGGGTGCCTGTAGTCCCAGCTACTCAGCAGGCTGAGGCAGGAGAACTGCTTGAACCCAGGAGACAGAGGTTGCAGTGAGCCGAGATCACGCCACTGCACTCCAGCCTGGGCTACAGAGTAAGAGTCTGTCTCAAAAAATAAATAAATAAATAAATAATATATGTATATATACACAATAATTATCCAGGCCTGATGGCAGGAGCCTGTAATCCAGCCACTTGTGAAGCTGAGTCAGAAGACTTGCTTGAACCTGTGAGGTGGAGGTTGCAGTGAGTCGAGATGGCTCCACTACACTCCAGCCTGGGCAACAGAGTGAGACTCTGTCTTAAAAAAAATAATAATAATAAACACTTAAATATAAATATTTATAAACTTTAAGACATGTATACTGAAAACTACAAACCACTGTTGAAAGAAATTAAAGACCTAAATACATAGAAAGACACCCCATGTTCATGTATCAGAAGACCTAACACTTTTAAGATGTGGCAATATTCTCCAAATTGATATACAAATTCAATGCAATCCCTATCAAAACCTTAGGTGTCTTTTTCTTTGCAGCAGCAGCAGAAACTGACAAATTGATCTTAAAATTCAGATGGAAAGGTAAGGGACTCCAAATAGCCAAACATTCTTGAAACAGAAGCCAGGCGCGGTGGCTTACACCTGTAATCCCAGCACTTTGGGAGGCCAACGAGGGCAGATCACCTGAGGTCAGGAGTTTCAGACCAGCCTGACCAACATGGCGAAACGCTGTCTCTACTAAAAATACAAAATTAGCCCGGCATGGTGGCACATGCCTGTAACTCCAACTACTTGGGAGGCTGAGGCAGAAGAATC